CGAACATAGTCCTCACATTCTCTTCTCAACTTCGGCTGACTGGAGCGGACTTCGTTCTCCAGCATGTGCTCACAGCACCTCAGCCTATCGAAGGATTCCGTCGGTATACCTACTTTTCTGTTTCCATGGTGATCCTACGTCTCCTTGCGCCTTCACCCAGAACAGTCACTATTGGAGCATCCAGTCCCCTTAGCCTTACTTCGCAAGCGGGACTATACCTTCGACCAGTACCGTGACCGAGACTCTCATTCAGACCTTGCTGTCTGACGGGTGCACGGTACTCTGACTCACTCGAGAGATACTGACTCTGACCCTAATTTGGTCTCTCTCTCTCTCTCTCTCTCTCTCTCTCTCTCTCTCTCTCTCTCTCTCTCTCTCTCTCTCTCTCTCTCTCTGCTTCGGGCTTTGACTCTCGGCCTAATCTTGACACTCTTCACGGGACATTCCTTTGAACTCCCGGGAAAGTAATATAATACCACTCTGTCTCTTCGCACATTATTACACTCTCCCAAATCAGCACGCAACAAGAAGGAATTAAATGATATACATAGAATCACTCATGTGGAGTTATGGAAGAGAACTAAAATTCCCGTGAATTAAGAGGTGAGGAAAAGATGCTGGTGTTGGATAGGACACATGTAGCCTAGTTGGACGTGTTCTTACTACATTTGTTTCTATAGCGAGGTGTACGCACCATTTGGAGGTGACAGGTTTGGTTCCCGGCACGGTAACTATAGCTTTCGATTTTTGTGTTGTCTGGTGTCCTTCTGTCGGCTCTATGGCTAAGTCGATGCGAACGCTTCGTAATGCCGGGTTCGATCCCAGCTGTGGGCCATGCGCCTTGTGTTGGTTCCGCAAGGGAGCCGACCGTCCAGTGGCAACGGCAAACTACTGGACGTAAATTTTACTAGAAAAACCACACATCAGCCAGGGGCTGTTGGGGTTGGTTCTGCAACGTCCTGTAAAGGATACGCAACTAACCGGTGTCCTTTCTATTTCTTTCTATGAGTGCCGATCAAAACATTGTCTGTTTATATACATATGTGTGTGTGTGTGTGTGTGTGTGTGTGTGTGCGCGTGTGCGTGTGCGTGCGTGCGTGCGTGCGTGCGTGCGTGCGTGCGTGCGTGCGCGCGCGTGTGTGTGTGTGTGCGTGTGCGCGTGTGTGCGTGCGTGCTGCTACTTCTTCTTTATCGCCCTTCTTCTTCTTCTTCGCATTCGCTGGTTGTAAACTCCGGTGTTCTGGTTGTTCGTCCACCTCTGGAATCTTTCCCCAGAACGTGAGTTTTCAGTGCACATCCGTTTTACAGATCTGACTTTTATGTGTGCAGGCTCTTGGTTCCTTGTCCCTAAAGCGAATGTACTGCAACGTGAAGAGAAACGCCTATGATTAGTCAACGTTTACGACATGTTCAGGTGGCCGTGGGTACCCCCTCCCTTCCCTACTAGGACCCCAGAACCTCCACACATTACCCTACTGATTTTTATTTAAAAATGTCAGTCAAGGGTCATATGTCCGATGGCGTCACATGGATCCTTTTGTTTTCTTTAGACATCCATGTAATATATAATAAGATAAACAAGATCCGTTTTATTCATGAGTTGTGCACTTGAGATGGATCGGTTCGTTTGCGCCACATGTCAGTCAGCTGCACTGCTGGTCTGGGACCGTTAGTGTTGGCACACCTGACAGCTGCCTAACGAATTGTTACTTTCTGTGTGCAAAACAAAAAGGACCCGTACCACGCTTTCAGACGTATTGGGCAGATGGGCTAGGACTAGATTTAAAGACAAATCCGGCACTCACTTTGTGATCTGGTCAGCATCACGCCGTCCGCCTTTACTTCCAATGACGATACCTGGTACCTATTCAAAGCTGGGAGCCAAGGTCGATTATGAAAAAGTCTGGCATCGTTAGGACCCGCACCCACAAACTTCCGATCCGCAGGCGAGCGTCTAGCAGCTACACCACGACGGCCCCTACTTTCCGTGTGCTTGATTCACAATTTGGCTGGGACTGAGAAGTTTTTCACTAGTTTTTGAAATGGGACAGAAGGACATTTCCTGTAATTGTCCCGGTACAGGAATCGAGCAGTTATGGGGCAATCCGTCTGCAATGATGCTGTAATCTCAACCTAAGACTAAAGTTTAATGTGTGTGTGTGTGTGTGTGTGTGTGTGTATATATATATATATATATATATATATATATATATATATATATGTGTGTGTGTGTGTGTGTGTGTACAAAGGAAAAACAGAATTTGACCTCATGTTACTTATGTCCCCTGCATACAAAGCAGCACGTAAAGAGTAATAACAGTTGACTATATCGAGTGGAAGCAGGTTATAAAACATGTAGATAAAACCTCTTAAGACAAACCGCTTCCTCCTCCCCCCACCCCCCTCCCCCTTTTTTTTTAACCCCATCTTCCCAACTACCATCACAAATTTTGTATGGCGGTGGGCAAAGAGACGAAAATGCTAAACATAATGTTCGCCGAATAAATGTGTTGTTTGTCAATTTTTGTGTAATTTAATTGAACATCAAACCGAAACTGTTCTTTTTGTTAGAATACCCAGTTCCCGCCTTTCATAATCCTTTCGTTTACTCAGCTAATAATTGCCAGTTGTCTTCTCTTGGAGCTGATCCGTATTCGTATTTGACTGCTTATTTGTGCCTCCCGTTGAGCTTCCGAGTTTCCCTAAACCGACAGATCTCTTTCTTGATTGCACAGCTTGGCTCGTGCTATGAGGTGACGGCACCGAGTCCAAGGGCCCTTTCTCCCGAGACAGGAAGAGTTCGGACGTGACGCAAACAAAACAGGGAACTAGGCAGGGGATATCCAGGGTCGATTTCCAGAACGTGAGGCTGGGGCGAGAGAAGCGACTTAGGGAAAAAATGTACTGTCTCTCTCTCTCTCCTTGTAAAAGTGTTGTTCTCCTGCTTCTAGTTAAGCGTTTCTGGGACGTTTGAAAATGGAATAAAATCTTGGGGCAAGAGTTAGTGGGAGGGAAGAGAGAGAGAGAGAGGGAGGGGGAGTAAGAAAAGATGTGAGTGAGAGGGAAAAAGGAGATTGAGAGACATACATTCAAAAAGAGAGAGAGAGAGAGAGAGAGAGAGAGAGAGAGAGAGAGAGAGAGAGAGAATCGTTAAAGGGAGAGATTGGGTGAGATTACAAGAGAGAGAGAGAGAGAGACTCGTTGAAGGGAGAGATTGGGTGAGATTTAAAAAAAGAGAGAGAGAGAGAGAGAGAAACTCGTTGAAGGGAGAGATTGGGTGAGATTACAAGAGAGAGAGAGAGAGAGATAGAGAGACTCGTTGAAGGAAGAGATTGGGTGAGATTACGAGAGAGAGAGAGAGAGAGAGAGAGACTCGTTGGAGGGAGAGATTGGGTGAGATTACAAGAGAGAGAGAGCGAGAGAGCGAGACTGAGCTATAAAGAGGGAAAGAGGATGTTACAGGAAGAATGAGAGAGAGAGAGAGAGAGAGAGAGAGAGAGAGAGAGAGAGCGCAAGCAAGACGGGGTCAAAGCTCTAGAGAAAATATATGATTCAAACAGTTTTGGCATTACCGTCGATACCGTCCTTTATCTCTACCCTACTCTCCCCCCCCCCCAACCATCTTCTCTCTGAACTCTGTCACACTTCCTAATTCCTGTATGTGGGTGCGTGCGTGGGCGCTCTCTTTCTCAATTTCTATCTTGCTCTTTTTTTTTTTTTTGCCCCCTGCCCCATTTTCTCATTGTCTCTTTGAGCTATCACCATGTCTTGCCTGGACTCTCTCTCTCTCTCTCTCTCTCTCTCTCTCTCTCTCTCTCTCTCTCTCTCTATCTTAAATATCCAGAAACCATAAGTTCTTAACCCTTTGGCTCGTTGCTATGGAAATCGCAACTTTTCGGCCATGATTCCATGATAAATACCGTAAATCTGGGAGAAATGTGGCTTTTCTGCCTACCCCTGGGCGTGAATCCAGACCACAAGGAGTTCGTCACCCGGTCGTCGCGAAGTCAGGTTTAGCCAACTACGCTAGCGAGCCGGGCTCTCTCTCTCTCTCTCTCTCTCTCTCTCTCTCTCTATATATATATATATATATATATATATATATATATATATATATATAAGCTTCGGAGATGTGGTTTATAGACGAATGATGAGAATACCCTGGACAGATAAGAGGAGTTATGAGGACGTCTTGGAGGAAACTGACTCACGAAGAGAATTTATTGCCCGCATAAGAAAGAGACAATGTATATTCTTTAGTCATGTGATGAGAAGGAGAAAACTGAAGTACATCGTGACAGCAGGAAGGTTGGAGAGGCAGAGGTAAACCAAAGCAACAGATGCTGGACAATTTGACAACATGGCATGGAGGATCATCTGTGTCAGAGTTCATTAAATGTACACGAGACAGAAGGCTGTGGATATACACGATTACCACCGCGACATGGAATAGACTCTAAGAAGAAGATGTGCTTCCATTGCCAATGTATCTTTAGTATCATGTATCCACCTCGCCAAGGTTGGTCTAGCATTCCGGAAAACTGCACCCATCATCATTTTTTGTGGTTTTATTTTTTAATATAAAATATGTAAACTAAGTAAAGTAAAGATCCCTTTTCACGCCTTAGGCGCATTGGGTATATGGAAAGAGCGTCCTATATTTTTACAGACCAATCAGCACTGGACGGGTAATGTGGTCAGCATTACGCCGGCTGTCTTTACTTTCCCAGGACAGCCATCCTGGTACCCATTTTAGGTTGGGTCGACCAGCGACACTCCATAACATGATAAGAATCCACGCAGCCAGCAGTGGGTTTCGATGGCGGTATGTTGGATTACGAGTCGGACTCGCAACGCCTAAGCCACGGACGCCGCTTTACCAACAGGTAATAAACACAAAATTAATAGTATTAATTCAAACTATTAACACAGTTAACACTCGATGTGTTATAAAGTAATTTTATCCACTATAATGTTTCATGCATACTCTCAGTGTAAAATCATGGCTTTGCCACCAGCTCTGGCTTTCCTGTCTCCCAGTTGTACTGGAAACCTGGCTTAACTGTTTTCCTGATATCTGGCGGTTCGTCTCCAGCTCCTAACAATACTCTTGAGGCATCATAAACGCTCAAAAGAGGTTTTGATTCTCTCCGACCATCTCTTTTACGGAAATAGTTATCTGACAGTTTGTTTCAGACTCCAGGTGGGGGATTTGATGGTGGCTGAGTCCTTTTGGCAATATAGCCTTCAAATCGATGGACTATCGATGTCTCATCATTGCCAAGCAGCCAATCTCCCACAGTCCTTAAGATGGGACTAGCATCTCTTACATTGGGAGGTCTCCTGTAGACCATTTTGTATGTACGACAGACATTCATTGTTCTCTCCAGACCATCTTGCGGCTTGACATGTCCAAAATACCTCAGATTTCGGGAGAGGATGCTGTTTACAAGCCAGTTCTCATCGATGGTCAAACCACACAGGATGTTGACGTGTTTTTTCTTCTCTGTCCACGGTATTTTGAGAATTTTTTAAAAATAAATATCCACCATATGCTTCAATAAGTGAGAAAGGTAGGTAAGGGACTCTTTTCAGACCACAGACGCATGAAGCGTGTAATGATAGGCTTCTATTTGTGTAGACAAATCGGTTCTCAAACGGTGAAGGGGTCAACAACATACCGACCGCCTTTACTTTCCATAACATGACTTAGCACCTATTTGAGGCGGATGCGAATGCAATAAATCTTGTAGTCCTAGATAGATGTTACCACAACATTTATTTAACAAAAATTTAAAAACACGACAACATAAATCGGTGACGTTTTCAGAGTTAAAACATTACAATTAAGAGACTGAATTAGCTACAGTAACACTGAAGTATATTGTGTCGCTGTAAAAGAACAATGTAATGGAATAATTAAGGAAACATATTCAAGGTGAAAAGAGCCCTATTTACAACTGATGAGGCCGAAAGCTGTATAAAGTCATGAGACCCCTATCATTTTAAATAATATAAGCGATCTCATCAAGTTAGGGGAGTCCCCGTGGCCGAGTGGCTAGACGCTCGCCGCAGATCGGAAGGTCGTGGGTTCGCTCCCTGGCAGAGCCGGACTATTTGCAAAAATGACCTTGGCTTCCAGGTCGACCCAGCCTTGAGTGGGTACCGGGTGCAGTCCCGGGAAGTAAAGGCGGCCGGCATGATGCTGACCACATCACCCATCTAGCCCTATATGCTCTATGCGCCTAAAGGCGTGGAAAATGGTCCTTTACCTTTACTTACATTAAGTTGGAATGAATAGAAGCCTGAGATAATATACCCAGAATAATGTTCAGAGAATTATAAAATTTCAGGAAGTCGCCGTGGCGTGGGCGACTAGAAGACTTGTGTACTATGTGCAGTCCTGGGAAGTAAAGTCGGTCGGCGTGATGCTGATGTTATATATATGCAAAAGTCATACAATTTCTGCGTCAACGTCGATATTATATCGTTTTAAAAGTCGTACAATTCGGGCGTTATTGTCGATGTTATATGTATGTAAAATATAGATATAGTCCTTTATTCCCAAGACGCTAAAAGGCGTCGAAAAATAATCTTTACTTACTCAAAAATGTATGGGAGGGGGGGGGGCGATATTAGAATACACTAAAAGAACATTGCATTTGAAAAACTATAAAAGATATCTACATTTGTGAAATGGGGGATAATTTTGTAGGCCCCGGTTTGTGAGAGGGGGGATAATTTGTAGGCCCATGTTTGTGAGACCCTAAGCTGTAGCTTAGTTAGCTTATGCTTACATACATCCAGCACTGAATGTAAAGAAAACGTATGTTTACCTCTAGGACTGAATGTAAAGAAAACGTATGTTTACATCTAGGACTGAATGTAAAGAAAACGTATGTTTACATCTAGGACTGAATGTAAAGAAAACCTATGTTTACATCTAGGACTGAATGTAAAGAAAACGTATGTTTACATCTAGTGCTAAATGTAAACAAAATGTGTGCTTACATCTAGCACTTAATGTAAAGAGACCTTATGCTTACATCCAGCACAGAATGTAAAGAAAATGTGTGCTTACATCTAGCACTGAATGTGAAGAAAACTTATTCTTACATCCAGCACTGAATGTAAAGAAAATCTGTGCTTACATCTAGCACTGAATGAAAAGAAAACTTATGCTTACATTCGCACTGAATGTAAAGAAAATGTGTGCTTACATCTAGCACTGTATGAAAAGAAAACGTATGCTTACATTCGCACTTAATGTAAAGAAAATTTGTGCTTACATCTAGCACTGAATGAAAAGAAAACTTATGCTTACATTCGCACTTAATGTAAAGAAAATGTATGCTCACATCTAGCGCTGAATGTAAAGAAAACTTATGCTTACAGCCAGCACTGAATGTTTAGGGGCTGCGTTTTCTGGAGGCATGGTGTCCACCTCGAGTGCTAGAGGTGCCGGGTTCAATCCCCTGTAAGGGCTGGTATTTTTTTCACATGGACTTGGACTTCTAGTAATTTCCCCTGGTCTCTGGGTAATGAGGTCGGACGCTGTGTGCATTACTGCGCACGTATAAAATCCATTGGCAGTTGGAAATTAAAAAAAAGCAACATAACGGCGCTGCCCGGGAAAAATGTGCAGTTAAAAATCCACTCAAAGTGTTTCAGGATGCTCGACAGTGCTACAGAGCTTGTGCACTGTGCTGAGCTTCTTAGGACTCAGACTTGAGTTAGAAGAAGATCGGAGCACTTATGGGTGCCATGGTGTTGATTCGTTGTTCAAAACCTAAAAACTCCCCAGCACTGAATGTGAATAAAAATCAGGGAACCTGCTGTGTTGTTTCTGGTAACTTTAAAAAGGTAAACATGACTAAAACTATATTATGCACTTATACAAGTCAGCAGGAAAATAACTCGTTTACAACCACGAAAATCGAACGTTAATAACAATACCGATGCGTAACTGAAAATCAACTGCACGCCGCCATTGAAACACACTGGCTCTAGATGCGACTTGTACGTGACCGACTGAATAGTTTAAGGTGGACATTGTGAAGCTCCACACACTAAAGGCTGAGGCAGTTAATGAATCAACAGGATAAAAGATGAATTGGTGGCTATTTTTGGTAAGGCTTTTCTCCGGTATGAATTGTCAGCGGGTTTGCTCCAATTTGTACTTTATAATCGCAGCTAATTTTAGCCTTTGTTTGAATACCATCTCATTGTTTTGTTACTTCACGTGAATAGAGGTAGAATGGAAACCTGGTTTTATAAATTATTAAATGTTTGTTTTCTAAGCATTCAATCAATAAATCAATCAAGGACCGTTTCCACAAGGACAGTTGACTGGTTTCATAACCACCAGAGTACAGATGGTTATTGCGTGCAAGCCCAGACTGCGGGACCTAAAGTACAGTACTTCTGTTCTTTACGACCTAACCTGGTATCTGACTTTACCATTTGCCATCACCACATTGGACTTCGGTTACAGTTCGACCCCCGGTGTCCCTGAATATAACTGCTGATTACATGTTGCAAAAGGCGACTAATTAGAGACGGGCTGAAATCGGATATGCTTGACCGAAAGAAGCAGATATCGCAACTTAGCTGTAAACCACAAGGTAATGTACCAATCGACACTGTAAAAAAAAAAAAAAAACTCCTTCAGACTTAACATTGTTATGTTTAGAGCAGCAGTTCTCAACGTGCCGGTCGAGACCCTTTGTTAGGTCGAACGACCCTTTCACAGGACCATGAGAGAACACATATTCATTGAAGTTATGAAGGAAAATAATTGTTTGGTGGTCGCCGCAACACGAGGGAACTGTAGTAAAGGGTCGCCATAACATGAGGGAACTGTAGTAAAGGGTCGCCACAACATGAAGGAACTGTAGTAAAGGGTCGCCATAACATGAGGGAACTGTAGTAAAGGGTCGCCATAACATGAGGGAACTGTAGTAAAGGGTCGCCACAACATGAAGGAACTGTAGTAAAGGGTCGCCATAACATTTAGGAACTGTAGTAAAGGGTCGCCACAACATGAGGGAACTGCAGTAAAGGGTCGCCACAACATGAGGGAACTGTAGTAAAGTGTCGCCATAACATGAGGGAACTGTAGTAAAGGGTCGCCACAACATGAGGGAACTGTAGTAAAGGGTCGCCATAACATGAAGGAACTGTAGTAAAGGGTCGCCACAACATGAAGGAACAGTAGTAAAGGGTCGCCATAACATAAAGGAACTGTAGTAAAGGGTCGCCACAACATGAGAGAACTGAAGTAAAGGTTCGCCACAACACGAGGGAACTGTAGTAAAGGGTCGCGGCATTAGGAAGGTTGAGAGCCACTGGTTTAGAGTAACTGTTACTGGCTGCCTGGTTATATCAACACCTGGTTGGTACTGGACAAGTTAAAACAATTCAAGCTCTGAAGCAAAACCAAAGTCTACATATGCAGGAACATCCAGGACTTTTTGCCGGAGTTAACAGCCGGCGAAAGAAGAAGACGAAAAATCTAATCACAGTATGAGCTATCCGGTTCTACCCCTGTCCTACTTTCATGGAATGCAACGCACCTGTTGTAGCCATGTGCGTACCTTCACCTGGCTCGACCCACCCAGGGATCCCTAGATTATGTATATGTCCAGCTCTTAATGAAGTAGACTGCATTCAAGACCCCGAGTGTAACCAATGCTGGCCAGTGGAGGAACTCATTAATTATTCACCTTAATGCATGACTGTAACACAAATGCTAATTCAGCCGTGCTGATGAATGTCAGCCTAATTAAAGACTCTACTACGCTGTTGGAAACCGTGGCGTGTAGCGGCTAGACAGCTTGAATGCCTGGCCGAATGTATTTGGTTCAAATCAGCATCGAGCTGAAGGTTTGTTCAAAAATTGACGTTGGCTCCCATGTCGATCGACAGGTACCTGGTAACATCATCATGCAGAGTGGCAAGCATCACTTTAGAGGTCCCGGGTAGTTAACATCGTTTGGATATTTTCTCCAGGTGATGCTGGTGTGTTGGGAAATGAGCAGGTAGATAGACTGGCTGGCTCTGCATCTCTTGGTGATGAATTGATGAATGACAAGTTGGATATCGTGAGGGCCCTTTTGGGAGCGAGTGAACAGTGCGGAGGCGCGGATAGATCATTACGGTCTGAGAAGAATGGCGCTGCGAGTAGTTACAGGGGGATCTGGCCGACGCTCAACACTCAGGGGAAGGATGAGACGGATATACGTTTACTGGTACCATCGGAATTGGAACTCTTCGCTTGCTGCTAAAGATGGGGACTGAGCACTTATGGGAGTGTCCCGAGTGCTGTGATGTCGATTTTTTATTCAACATTTAA